GCACAGAAACAGTACTATATAACATTTTAGACACATTCTAGACAGTTTATCAGCTAAAAAAAGTTAATTTTGGGGTAAGTTACTCTTTAACTGAGAACTTGGCAGTAAGTATGTCTAATAACAAATAAACAGTGGAGACTGGAAGCTGTCAGCCTCACACAGATCTGAAGTGATCACTGACTCATGGGTTTATGGATAAACTAACAGCTGAGAGGAAGTCAGCTCAATCAGCTGTTAAAACTCCCTGAATATGAAGGCGTATTTTTACTGGGTAACTCATTTCTAAATTAAAACTCACGTTTTTGTGACAATTTGTTGTAATTAATTTAGTTCTAAGTTAAAAAAAACAAGACATTAGTAAAGTGTTTCCTACATTCAGTCCAGTTTGAAGTCCTGCGTGGACACCATGAACCTAAACATTAAGGTCGGTGCTTTAACACGACTCATCTGCCTTCTTCTGTAGCAACCGCTGTCTGTCTCTGCTGTACCTGAGGATGTTTCACCTGAAGAAAGACCACGCTGTCAAGTACTCACGCTCGCTCCTGGAGTACTTCAAGGTAACAGTCGAGCTCAGACAATTGGACACACACACACACACACACACCTAACCCATCCTTCACACACGATTCAAATTCATTTCCATGCTCCTTCTGCATTAATTCTGCATGAAGTTATTAAATTCCCTTCTTTTTTTTTCATTAATATTAATGTGCTAATTAACGCCATCAATCTTCTCAGTGGATTGTTGCAGTTTAATGTGCTTGTTTTGATTAATTGTGTTTAGTTTAATTAATTACCAGACGTCATTATCACAGTTGTGCGGCGGCTCTGATGGGATTGGGTTTGTTAGCTGTTTACACACAGATATGTGTTGACAGAACGTTAGAGCCGTTCATCTGCATTAAAAACAGTTTGTTCCTCTGAGTTTAAAACTGTATTTTTATCAGAGCGACAGCAGAGAGAAGGACGTGATTCCAGCAGCTGTTTGATAAACTGGTTTACCTGCTGGACTTTAACACCAAACACTCCTTCGGCCGTTCAATTTGACATATTTGATAAAATCAAACAAAAGTCATTTATTTTTAAGTGTATTGTGAGTAAAATATTTGTACTCATTTCTGATGTGACAGTCACTTCAGTTCTCCTAACGCTAGCCCCGCCCACTCACACCTGTTCTCTGTCTCATTATGTTCAGTTGTCCCTCACCTCCTTGTTAGCCCTGATTTAGTTTGAACACAGTGCACGTATTTATCATTATCACAGGGTTCCTCTTGAAACAAACTGTTCTTGAATCTGAGTTTTTTTAATTATCCAAACAAATCCAGGTACAAGTCAGCAAACTGTCGACCATCTCAGGCTTTATTTCCTTCTCCAGAGTGAAAATCACTCCTCACACATTTCTCTCTTTCCTTTACCTTGACTGTGACCAATAAACCCATCCTTTACCTGATGACACTAACCTCCTCAGTGTTGTGGAGGAACTCTTAACCACTAGCCCCTCCCACTTCAGTACAGTACACTTTGTTTCTACACAACTAAAACAACAAGGCAGGTACAGATGATGTAAAGGATGTTTTCCTGACTTAACCTTCAAGTATGCACCCGTGGTTGTTTCTAACTGCTGACGGAAGAAAGACATTACCAGTGTTGTATAAAGTACCTCAAAGTGATACTTGAGTAAAAGTACTAGTAACTTACCATAGAATTGCTTTGGTAAAAGTTCTCCTCTAAGAATATCACTTGAGTAAAAGTCTTAAAGTATCTAATATATTTTGTAATTAAGTATCAAAAGTAAATTTCTGACATTAAATGTACTTAAGTATTAAAAGTACGGAGTAACAATGAGTGGCTAGACTTCACAAAATTACATTTATTGGGAGGTGAGACCCTCAAAAAATGTTTTTCTAAAGGCCACAGTGGTTACATTTTCATATAAAATTTTAATGTGAAAAAAGTTAGGATGCACTACTCCATCTGCTTCAGCTTATACTGTATATATACAGCGGGTAAAATAAGTATTGAACACGTCACCATTTTTCTCAGTAAATATATTACTAGAGGTGCTAATGACATGAAATTTTC